ATTTTTTTCATATCAACTTCAAATTTGGAACATAACTTATTTAGACATAAGGCTTTACTTTTTTTTTTCTTTTTTTTTTGCAATTTTAGATTAAAACCTGTTATGTAAAATATTTATTTTATATAAATTATAATACAAATTGTACAGTGCATTTTCTTTACAGTAAATTTAAACTTCTTATTTTTTTTTTTTTATAATTTGCAATAAGCAATAATCTGCTGACTGTCTTCTTTAAAAAGAGACCAACCTTTCCTCTGTATTCCAAAGTATAATAATTTTATAACAATTTAAGTTTGGATAGTGCACTTTAATGCCTATTTTAAAAAATGGGGGGTGACAGTTAAGGGGTTAGATTTCTTTTGAGGTGCAAGAGATTTTAAGAAAGCAGACAGCAGATGTACTTTCCACTCAGTTAGGAGCATCTCTCCTCTCGTTGCTCTCTATTTTCGATGTACTCGCTCATTATATACATTTTGCAAATTTTGAACACAGAAAAAGTTACATAGTGCTGCTTTAAAAAATAGGGCTGACAGTTAAGGGGTGGTACAGCCAAATTCAGAACCACTGAATAAAAGAGAAAAAAAAAGTCAAATTAGAAAGAAGTGAGTATTATGTATTCCAGTAGTTGGATTGTTTTTCATCAGTTACCAAGGATAACGTCTCAGGTTACGTATGTAACCATGGTTCCTCGAGGGAACGAGACGCTGCGTCGAGGACGCTTCGGGAACGCCCTTCAGCACTCGCACTGGACACATACAGTTTAGCTACTGCCTTCCGCTAGAAGCCTTCGGCCTGGGAGCGCCACTCTGACTCTAGACTCTGCAGAGTACAAGAAGTGAGGCCCCCAGAATGAAGGGCCGGAACACGGCAGGTTGGGACTGCTCTTCACAAACAGATATCAGACTGACACACACACAGAGCGCTTGCTGAATGACAAAAAGCTGATGCTGGTCTCACCGCACGTGCTTTTATAGCTTCCTGGCATTACGTCACCCGCCCGTGACGTCTCGCCCATCTATTGGTCTGATTACACACGAGATTCAGAGCCGGTCACGCTGAAGGGCGTTCCCGAAGCGTCCTCCGACGCAGCTCGAGTTCCTGAAGAGGAAGCGCATTCTTTTTGTTTGTCATATCATCAGATATCTTGTGAAGTGGAACAAGAAAATGCACCGCCAGAAGGAACACTGGTCAAAAGAATTGTCCCAAGAGAGATTTGAACCTTTGTGCTGCTCATTGTGATTTGTTGAACATAGTATTGAGCGGCTCACCCCCTCCTCTGACCGCTCTCCTCACCTCTTCAATTATACATTCAGGTTGGGGTTTTAAACAGCATTTTTCGAGCCCAGAGTGGAAATGGCCGGACATGGCTGATGCCTCTTCAAAGGACAGTCCTAGGAGATTCCCATAGTATGCAGACAACCTATAAATATGACAAAATGATCTAGGTTTGCCAAATCTGCATAACAAAACCGCCCACTGGCCAATTTAAAATAGCCCCAAACTATCCCAAATACCAAAACTCAAAATATCCCACATTCAGATACATATTTTACTGTCACTGTTATGCATTAAACATAATTTTAACAGTATAGCAGTTGTAAACACAATAAAATCATCTTACTTTAAGATTGAGAACATTTAAACAAAATTCTTAAGTGATGGTGGTAAAATCCTTTATTTTTAAACTATTTGAAACTGAGCTATATACAGTTTAAAGATCTTGTTCTAATGTTACTCTTCTCCTTCTTAGTCCTTGTAATTCATGTCTGCACACAGGCTTCCTAGTTCCCCTCCCCAAAGTCTCTTGTTCATCTAGCACAGTTTTACAATTAGTAGAATATAAATCGGTTGGGATCAAATATTTGGTAACACTTTAATTTTACAGTGTCAGTGTCCTTACACGTTACATGTACTTACTGTAATAATTAAAGTAAATTATGCATGATATACATGCAACAACCCAAACCAAACTCTTAACCCATAGAAAGTAATTGATATTGCTCAGTTAATTAATATTACTCGGTACAATTACACTGTAATATGTATAATTGCACTGTAACAATGGCATCTTAAAATAAAGCTTGTCCAATTATTTCAATACAAAAATTTCAATCAAATGTAATTTATGCAATATATCAAACCTTTAACCTGTAGACTGCAGAATTGACAACCCTGGCTCTATAAGGATTCTTTGGAAAAAATTTAAATAAATAAATAAAAATAAAGATCTATGTGTTCTATGAAAAAATAACAACAGCCTACTAGATAGAAACAGCATGAGGATGAGTAGATAATAACAGAATTTTGATTTTTGCTGAACTGTTCCTGTAATGTATGATGAATCTGTGCGAGCCATGGCATATTTACCCAAACTTGAAGGATTTCAGATTTACTTGGTTGTTGCAAACATTGGAGAGAAACTTCAGAAAAATGTTGGAGCTTCGCATCTGGAGTCTCTGTTAACAGACAGGATTTGTAAAGATATTAAAGATAAACTGATCATAATAAGTATCATTATAAATTGGTCATTACTGGGGTTTCGCCCTACATAAATTAAACTGATTCGAACTGATTTGAAAGATATCATTATATTAATCACCCCTCTCCTCATGAAGGATTTCAGATTTACTTGGTTGTTGCAAACATTGGAGAGAAACTTCAGAAAAATGTTGGAGCTTCGCATCTGGAGTCACTGTTAACAGACAGGATTTGTAAAGATATTAAAGATAAACTGATCATAATAAGTATCATTATATATTGGTCATTACTGGGGTTTTGCCCTACATAAATTAAACTGATTCGAACTGATTTGAAAGATATCATTATATTATATTAATCACCCCTCTCCTCATAATCATTTCATTCCATTTCATATTTCTGCTCCCTTAGACAAATTGCTAGACAAAACTAGACAAATTGCACGTTTCCCCCTACAGCAACTAAAATAAAGACATTTAATTAGTAGCTTTTTAAAGCAGTGTGGGCAGCCGAAAGCAGATTTTAGCTCCATGAACAGCAGATGTGAGTCTGCCATCACGGGTTTTGTTTTGAGAATAATATCTTGGAATCCTGTTTGTTCCTCACAATAGACCGTGTAAGAGCCTTCAGGCAAATTGATACCAAAAGCAGACACACAATACACAATGATGATTATTAGTCCCATTACAGTCTGACAAAGCACCCTTTAGCTTCTATATGGCAGCATATGGTGCTTGTGTACTTTTCAGAAAATACATATAACAATAGAAACAAAGAGGGAACAATTACGCTTCTACAGGAAATGTGTGCAATATCCCATCATCCAAAATACAAGCACAATGTCTATCTCTTAATGACTTGACTCATTTTGAATTGGAACTGGGCATTGCTGGAAAAATGTAATAAATTACATTTCCGACTATGTAGAAAATGTAAAAAGTTGTTTTTAAGCCAACAGAGCAATAAGTGCCTATTGTTTCCTTTATTCTAGGAAGTGCATTATTTGTAATTTTTCATCAGCTTCAATTAGACAGCTTATTATGTAAAAATCCATGCATTTTGGTTTAATGAATGCATTCCTGCTGAAAACAAAAATAATAATAATTAGTCTCCATGTTGATGCTGGTATAGTTACTTTACCTGTTACTCTGTATATTTGGACATTTAATGAACCTACAAGGATACTTAAACATTTCTATATCACTAAATTTGTCAGTATACATTTAACATACATTAGCATTGCACTTTAGATACAAATAGCTACCATTACTAATGAGATCATGTACAGCAAGCCTGGTGGGGACACCAGCATCTTACACTGAAGACCAGCTTCAAAATACACATTATACTGGCTCATAGCTTAAAGTATTTTGATCAACAATTCAGAGTCACAGGTTGACAAGAGTTTCATATTTTTGTTTAATATTGTTTGTTTGACATTTTAGAGAGATTTGTTTAGTTAAAATTTGCTGCGGTTCAGAGTCTCAATGTGAAAATAGGAGAAGAATAATGTTTTCTTAATCAGACATTAATATTTTACTTTTAGATTAGTTTATAGTACTGTTTTTGGTCAGTACTAGCACTAAACTAAAGCTATCAGAAGTGATATTAACACAATGTAAGCATTAATAATATAATATTTCATATGCATGTAACAGAAGAGAAACAATTAGGTCTACATTGAGCCGTTAGAGTCTGAACTAATTACATTTATTGTTGATGCCCCCAGTCATCATAAATGTATTCTCTCTGCGCCTAGACAACGGAAGTTGCTAAACTTGTCTTAGGTAGGAAACTGCAACAGCCATAGCATGGCATATTCATGTAATTTGTTATTTAAATGGGCTGGTTCTAGGATTTCAGGCTCCCGATCTAAGCATAAGTTGATGCTGTGTATTTTATTTTATATGCAGTTTGTTTATTTATTTAGAGGCTTATTTCTTGCATAAGTATAAGAGGTCGCAAGTTTAAATCTTTCTCAAATTTTTTAAATAAATTAAACTTTATGTAATTACATATTTTCAGAAACTGTGACATATAAGTTAATCACAGATGACAGCTTTTTAGGCGGTCTGAGGTGAAAGACAGGTGACTGTCTGTCTCCCTATTATATAGTGCTAAGTAACCAGACAATGCATTTTTCATGTCTGAGCCATTTCTGGACACCACAACAAAATATCTATAATTTGCTTTTTTCGACCAGCATTCCCTGTCATTTCAGTGTCAATTACTTCAGTTGTGACATCTAATAATAACAGTTCTGTAAGATGTCTTACCTGAATAACAGCTATTATAGTTGGAATGTTATGCAGTGTCTTACTGTGTGTGTGTGTGATTGCAAATGACAAAGTAATAAAATATAACAGATTTGCAGTAGGCCATAATCAGCATTAAATTCATTCACCCAACATCACCCCTCTCACTAAGGTCATGCCATCCCAGGGTTTCCAATGAACGTAATCAGAAAAGTGTGGTTCACACTACCTCTTGAAGGAAACAAGAGTTTTTGATATCAGGGCGGCAACATCTCTCTGCCATTCTCACATGGTTCTGAGTAGCATTTAGAACAAAGCCTGCTGGGATGTTTCTGTGCCTCCGGGCGAACTCGTACACATACCTGATGGAGAGAAAATAATGACTTATGACGTCAACATGGTAAATCAAAGCCCTTAGACATGAGTCATAAAGGGCATAGGATATTCTGTTCCTCTATTAGTAACTACTAATCACCAAAAGTGTTTATTTGTTTTAATCCTATCAAAACTGCACATAATCCTCATATTTATGCATGGATGGGGGTTGGTGTTGTCACCAAAAGATTTTATTATGAAAAACTGTTGTCATTGTAATGTGGGGAGGTGTGACAACGGAGTTGAGGATCCAAATGCAGGCTTTATTCAAAGAGTGGTCAAAACAGGCAGGGTCAAACAGCAGCAAACAGGTATAATCCAGGCAGACAAAAGAGTAATCCAATAAAACAGGCGAAGGGTCAGGGCAGGCAGCAAAACAATCAAAAACCAGAAACAGTCCAGAGTCAAAAACAAGGCAAGGCAAGGCAACAAGGAACACGGAAAACACACGAACTAGGGCTAAACACGGGCTAACACGGACTAAACAATACTGAGCAATGTGGATGTAACAAACCAGGCTTTAAATAGGGTGAGACAGATGAGATAACAAGACACATGTGAATGCAATCAGAGATAATGAGTCCAGGCAAAGGATTATGGTGAATGTAGTAGTGAGGGAGTGACAGTCTGGGATGAATGGCAAAGGTACAGGATGGAGTGCCCTCTAGTGGAGCTTGTGGCCCCTTAAGGAGTGGCTTCCAGATGCTCCTAAATGAGAGAGACAGAACAGGGGGAGGGATGGAGGGCCAGGTCCATGGTGGAAGACCTGGAGACTGAGGCAGAGCCGGCGGAGCAGGAAGCCAAGGTGGAGAAGAGTGCCAGGGCGGAGCCGGCAGAGCTGGAAGCCAGAGCGGAGCTGGGTGCCAGGGTAGAGCTGGCAGAGCAGAGTGCCAGGGCAGAGCCGGCAGAGCAGGAAGCCAGGCCGGAGCCGAGGACCACCGGGGCAGAGCAGACAGGACTGAAGATCCCCACGGCGGCGCAGATGAGTACCAGGGTGGAGCTGATGGAGCAGGGAACCACCACGGCGTATCAGGCTGGACTGGAATAGAGAGCATAGAGAGGTTAACAGCGGCCTCTGTGGCTGTAATAGGATAAGCAGAGAGTTCATCAATGGCCTCCTTGGCCGTAGCTGGACAGGCAGAGAGTTCACAGACGGTGAAGCTGATGCCACTGCTTCGGGAGGTTCTGCAGTGTAAGCCGCCACCTTGGGAGGAGCTGGACTCACTAGAGTCATAGGAACAGGAAATGGCACTCATGGCCGTGACGAGGGAACTGGAGTCATTGGAACAGGAAACGGCACTCCTGGCCGTGACGAGGAACTGGAGCGGACTCAAGGACTGGAGCGGGCTCTTGTGCTGATTCGAGGATTGGAGCAGATGCCACCGCCTCGGGAAGTTCTGCAGCGGAGGCTGCCACCTCTGGGGAAACTGCGGTGGTGTGTGTGGCCCAAACACATAGAATGGCGACTGCCATTACAGGGAGCACTGAGTCCATGGGAACAGTCTCGGTGATGACTAGTGCTGAGGCCCTTGGGATGCCTGTGGCTCTGGCTGACATCAGCAGAAGATCCTCCACACTGGATGCCAGTCTCGGACACCTTGGAATTGACCTTGAGGTACTGGGAAAGGTTGCCATGACGTGAGGAGACTCTGGAACGGCGGCCATGACGGGACGAGACTCTGGAGCAGCGGCCATGACGGGACGAGACTCTGGAGCGGTGGCCATGACGGGACGAGACTCTGGAGCGGTGGCCATGATGGGACGAGACTCTGGAGCGGCGGCCATGATGGGACGGGACTCTGGAATGGCAGCCATGACGTGGATAGGCTCTGCTGTTGCCGCTATTACAGGTACGGGCTTGATAACTGGAGTAGCGATCACCAGAGTGGAAGGTGTATTTCTCTGTTATCGACCAAGCTCCACAGCTTGCCTTCAGCACACCGCCTGAGCTTGTCGGTATCGCCCCCACGAAAAAAAACTCTTAGGGGTTTTACAGTCCTCCGTCTCTCCCACAGTGAACGGTGAACCAGATAGAAACAAGCTCTAGTGGAGCTTGTGGGCACTCCAGCTAGAGATTGTAACAGTCATTATGCTCCCAAGACTTATTTTGGAACAGGATGAATCATATGACTACACTGATTTAGCTTCATTATGCAGCTCTTTGTTGAGAAGCGAGGTAAGAAAAGAAGCGAGACACGTATGAACTAAAATGGTTTTAATCCTGGGGTCTATTTTTCTGTAACAAAACAAACATAATTATGCGCCCTGTTTTATAAAAGTGATTACCATGCATGTACCAAAGGAGGAACATAAAAAAAAGATTTTTCCTTAAAATTAAAATGATAAAACATAAATTGACTATTACATATACAAAATGTATATCATTACAGTTGATTTATCTTTAAAATGTAACAATTTAATCCATTTTTATAAGGGAAAAAAATACTATATGTAAGCACCAGGTTCAGCAATTTGTGTTGATGTTTGTCAAAACAAAACCTGTGATGGCAGACTCACATCTGCTGTTCATGAAGCTTAAATCAGCTTTCTGCTGCCCACACTGCTTTAAACAGCTGTAAAAAAACTATTTTTCAAAGTTGTAAATAAAACAAAGATTATTGGAGTATGTGTTACAAGAAAATACTATTTCTACTTCAAAATTTCATGTTTAATTCAATGTATTTGCCATTTCTTTGTGATTACTCATGAAATTTACTATCACTTTCTGAGTGAAAATTGTTTTTATAACATTTTTTCAGTGTTTTGACCTGTTGTTAATGGTCTGGTGTTAACTTGAATGTACCTAAACCTGACAAATGGGGCTGTAGGGGTAGATGTTTTGTTAATTTTGTTCAAGTCAACTGAACTACCTTTTGATGTAGAATTATTTGCTATACAGAAATCTGCTTCACTGAGTCAACAACAGGCACTTGTCTCCCCTTGCTACTAATGCAACCACAATCAGAGGAGACTAAAACGGCCAAAAAAAGCAATTAACACTTTGAAAGAAGTGCCAATATGTTTTATTTACTTTCTTAATTTGTTTCAGGACTAAGGCCTTCTGCATGCCATTAAAGTCCAAAGAAAATATTGTATTATTACTTAAATTGACTTTGAATAGAAGTTCTGACCAAAAGGGCTCCCCTGAGGCAAACCAGCCCAACAAGCAATTATCACTTCCACCTGCCTATTAAGCCCAAATGGCATTCCTAGGCAAAAAAAGGAGATGAGATTTCCTAAAGCATGTTCAACAAATAAGTTCATATTGTCTCTAGTTCCATGGATAAATTACATACGGTCAAATGGTATTTAACTCCCAGTTGAGAAAGAAGACACATGACATACTGAAAATGTTTGAAACTAGGTTATTACAGCTCACAAATATCCAAGACTCACTAAAAGCACCACCAGAATTTGCAGGTTTATGAACTCCTCTGGCTCTGATTTGGTACCACTGTATGGAAACTTCATTGTGTAAACTTACAGCTCTCAGGTAGCAAACATCAAACATTTGCTTTAGGTTTTGCTTCATGTTTTATTCTTTATGTTAATGCTTTTCACACCCATGGTAAAACCATGCCACACATTTAAAAAAAATGTATACCCCAAGGTATTTTACATTTCCCTTATTACAAGTAACATGTACTTATTGTAGTAATAAAAATAAATCATGCATAATTACATGTAATTAACCATAACCCAAACCCTAACCCTAGAAGTACAGTACATGTTAATTAATATAACATAGTACTTAAATATAAACACTATTGTCAGGGTTGGGGATGAAGGATGGAGCGAGGACTCAATAGTGCGGGAAGAGAAGGGCTTTATTAATAAAATAAAACAAAACAGACAACAAAAACTACCCCGTGGGGGAAAAACAGGCTGGCAAGGCTAGGCAAGGCAGGATCTCGACACGACACGACACGACAAGACAGGACACATCCAGGGAGATAGGGTGACGAACTGACCCAGGACTGCAAACACAGGGAGAATAAATGGAGAGCAAATGAGGAGGGTAACGAGGGAACACATGTGGGGCAAATTAACCAATAATCAGGTAACAAGATGGGTGGGGTCAAGACAATTGACATGAGAGCACATGGCATACAGGAAACAAAGACAAAAGCCATGTGCTCACACAAAACAAAACACAAGCACATGGCCAGCCAAACAAATCACAAGCCATGTGCTTGAACAAAAAGACACGAACACGCAGCTAATGAGAAAACTCATAAGCCGCGTGTTCACACAAGACAACAAGAAAAGCACGCGGCTGAACACAAACCGCGTGCTACACAAAACACGTGGACAGAAGAGCGCACGGCCGAGCGAACTCGAGACCGCACGCTCCCACAACAGACAGAACAGTGAGCGCGAGTGTCCGGACCCCGAAACGAAACCGAAACTCAAGACCTGAGTGCCGGGATCCGAACACCACGCTCCAACATGAAACAGTACACGCAGACGAGAGCGCACGGCTCGAGCACTCTCGAAGCCGCACGCTCACATGAAAACAAAGACATGACGGGAGTGTCAGGGCTCTGTCACAAAACCATGAATTACACTAGACCGAAGTGACAGAACCCTGACAACTATAACAAGGACACCTTTAAATAAAGTGTAACCCATATGCTAAAAAAACAATGCTAAACTTAATCTAAGATAATCTATATGTCTATATGAATCCTGAAAAGTGTTTGATATCCAAAATGTGGCCCTTAAGAGTAAAATGATGAAGAAAAACATCTATGAAAGACATCAAGACTATTGGATCACAAATGACTGGCATACAATAGGTTGTCAAAATAAACTATTTGCATACATAGATATTTGTATTTACACTACACTCTAAAAAATGCTGGGTTAAATACAACCCAGTGCTGGGTAAAATAGGGACAAACCCAGCAATTGGGTTGTTTTGACCCAGTGGTTGGGTTAAAGGGTTAGTTCACCCAAAAATTTAAATTAGCCCATAAATTACTCACCCTGAAGTCATCCTAGGTGTATATGACTTTCTTCTTTCAGACGAAT